TGGTGTTGTAGGCAGTGATCCATCGGTATTGCCACTTTTGCAGCTGCAACAGGTGTAAATGCAATGAGAGTTAGACTCGACTCAGTGGCGAGGTTTGAAATAGGTGGAGGAGGAGATACCGTGTGATCGGACGGAGACCCAATGCGATGGCATATCAAGTTCTTTGTAAAGCCATTTTATACGCCGTGATAAGCTATATTGTCGATTCTCCTATGGACGGCAGAGAAATGTGGATATCCTTTTCAGATACCTGACGGACAGGTGCTTGAATCTGATTTCTTGTCCAAGTATGGAAGCGAACGAAAGATTCCGGATAGCCATTTTCTCATAATGCGCTACATATTTTATCCTGTTCGTTCTCTATCATGTCCTCGTGCTATAGAATAACTTGGAACTAGGACTCCCTTGTGCGTCACTGGTAAGAAACTGTTGAAGGACTAAGTCTTCCTGCGGGAGATGGAGGGTTTAATCGAACTGTCACTTTTACAGATGATTAGGACACCAAGGAAAGCTGGCGAATTTTCCTACGCTACTCCAGAGGTGTTTCAAGTTGGGGTGTGCTGGATTGAATTTATCCAACTGTATATCCATCTCATCAGACTGATTGAAAAGAATGGAAACATCACCAATGTTCGCTTGATTACCTCATCCAACCGAGTTTCTATCGTATCCATGAAAATGTTACACGCACGCGACCGATTAGAGTATACGAAAGGAAGTTCTCTTGTAGTATGTGTTTACTGACTTGCCTGATGAAAAAAAAACGTTGCCAAAGTTTCTCTCTATTCTTTTTCATTGGACACATTTTTGTGTGATGAACAACAGACGGGGTGAGCCCCATAGTCGTGAGGACCTGCTACTCCGTGATGGAAACTGACAATCTACGCCCCGGAGTCTTGGAGTAGCGAAAACCATATAAGGTTAGGTTAGGTACGGTACTGAACCGGAGGACAGCAAAGTTGTACATTTACGTGAGCAACAGAGGAAAGTGCCTTCAGTTAGTACCATGAGTCCCTTTAAGTGCTTTTGAATCAACAGGTCTGAATTGAAGGAAAACAAAACGCCAGCTGACATACCCACTGGTGATTAATGTGTGTGCAGTTCGAGGACACCAGCAAACCTGAGAGAGACCGGATTCGGAATGTCCACCGGCCAGAGTGATTGCCACTGCACCGATCAATGGATCGACGAGAACCGCGCGACCTGTGCCGTTCGGGCCGAGGCTGGCACCGATCAAATTGTGTGTTCGGGAACAATCTGAAAGGGCAATCCATGAAACACTCTCTGCCAACTGAACGGTGTCTGCACACTGTGAGAGGACCGGAAGAACGTAAATTGTAATATGGAAAAATTCTAACTGTGCAAAGACACACTATTCAACAACAAATCTCTAGAATCTTATCTAGGAACGCCAAACAGTGAACCATATCATACAATTTCTAAGGATAGACTTAGTTTTGACAGATCTTATTCAATATTCAATTCAACTATACAATGCAAAATCTCAAAACACTTGATCAGATTCACTTTGAGCAACAAAAAGTCACACATGAAGGAAATTGTATATCAGGTAAAAATCGATTCACCACCACCACAGAAATCTAGTCGGGTCGTGAGGGATAGCTGATACAGGTGACATCTATGATCAGAAGGACGGACTGTGGTGCACCGGGGGAATTCCGCATTGTTTTGGACACCGTCACCTACCCAACTCCCTTAGGGTCATTAGACACACTCCCGTAAACTGGTCGGAATATGAACTAAACCATGTTCAGGGCAACTGAGGTGTAGTGCCTCGGTGAAGCGGTGCATGGCACGTAAAGACAGCGCCGACAGAGCGTGAGGACGATATCTGACGGCCTAAGGGCTATAAATGAAATCTGATAAACGAACAGATTGAGCTCCTGGTGAGCCACCGGCAACCACGGACAAACATAATGCTGCTTTGTTGTCCGCAATCGTCTGTGCCAAGACTACAGGTAAGCTCTCAAAACAAGAAAATCTGAGAGAAGTTTGGGACGTCTCTAGTACTAACCTCCGACGAAACTTCATGAGCATTCATGATGTTCGCTTATCACCCACACCCCCCCCCCAAAGTAATAGCCGAACGGAAGTAAAGAACCTAACGGAATATTTAGCATAAGCTGTCCGTTCCAAGGATAAAACGGTCTGTCCATGGTGCCCGATCGGGATCATCTTGAAGACGAAATCAGCCCCCCAATAACCTATGATGTTAATTTTCCTTTTCCCAAAAAAAGTATTTGGTTTTTATAATTGTGTACCAATACATAACAAACATTGTGATCTATTTAGCATCACTACGAATCACTTAAAACGAGCTTGTTTAACACATTTTGTGCTATTCGAGAACGTACTCTGAGAAATATGATAAAAAATTCCCAGTGCACTCGAAATTTGTAAGAATGCGTAGATAGGGATTGGGCCTATTTTGAGGAAAATAAATTATTACCCCGGGAACTTGGTTAGGTNGTTAGGTTCAGGGATTTCTGATGGTAGGCAGCTCCGCTGCTGTCCGGTTCAAAACCAAACCTAACCTATCGGGACCTTATGCGGTTTACCACTTTAAGTCCCGCCTAGGTTCCCGGTTTCTATCACTGAACAGCAGATCCTCGTGACTATGGGGTTCGCCCTGTCTGCTGTTGTTCATCACACTAAGAGGTGTGTAATAAAAAAGGGCTCAGGGACTTGGTTTCTCCTACCGACTTCGAACCGAGAGGTTTTCCTCCTTCCGCGATTCTGTCGTGCTAAAGAGAGGGTTTACATGATTGGTAGACGTAACTAGGTAAAAGAGCTACCTCTTCTTATCAGAGCTGAAGTAGGATGTCTGCTTTGGGTAATAAAAGCTGTCGTGAAATGTGGACTATCCAGCAAAAACTGTGGTTCACGCATCAGCACCTGTCTCTACGAGGAGGTAATAAAACAACAATTCCCTTCTATTCATGCCTCAAGTGCCCTCTCACATCCTTTTTGCTCCCTTTTCTATGTACATACAGAATCTTCCCATTTCCCGTAACCTTGTTTGTGTCTAAGGTTCACGGCTCAATAGAACTTGTAGGCTTCAACCAAAAGTGGTTAAAGAACTAGAGATTGAGATGAAGCTGATTCCAAGGCAGCGGCAACTGTCGTTAGAAGGACAGATGAAGTTTTGGACGGCTAGCACACCATTATATATATATACCACCGGCCTGAAAACAAGCACGGCGCCAACGCAACAACAATGACAGTGAAAGGGGATAGGTGGATTAAGATACAGAACATGGTGAAAAGTGGGTGAGATAGTTAAACATGGAAAATACAAGATAACAGAATTTTTTGTGTGTTTCACCGTACACCTTTTGCAATTTTTTTGTTGTTTGATGTTTCGTTTTTCTTAAGGGGCACGGGATTTCGATAGACAGATCGTACAGCATTCGCGCCACTGACTTCTATTCTGCGCCATATCTCTCAGCGTCTCTAACCATAGACAATCCTCATCCATTGGGCCCCAACCTGGAAGGCGGGCTGCACCAACCGAAGCCAAAGCTGAAGCCAGCTTCTTCATGCCTCTAGCCCATGTCATGGTCTGACCATTGACAAAGAACCAGCAGCATATGCGTAGGCCGAAATCGCTCGAGAGAACCCTTTGGACTCTGTTATAAAGTACACAAAATGAAGGCAGACAACCATTTCAGTCAGTGTGAATCCGAACATGGTCCCAAGAATAACCGCATATCATTAATGAAAGCTACCGAATGTAGAGATAGTTAATTTTGATGGAACCCCGAAACGTCTATGGAGTTTACCGATCAGCTTTAGGAAACGTGGCTAGCAGCTCGCTCAATGACAGAGAACAATTCTGTTATCTGATCCACTGCTGTGTCGACAAAGCTAGAGAAGCTATAGAATACTGTTGTTGCCCTTGTCAAAAGAATACTCGCGGGCAATGCACGTCGTACAGACACAATTCGGATGACCGGACGATGTTGCTGAATCTGTTGGATGAATTATGCAGAGGGAGTAGAATTGGATCAAGTGACGCTAGCGGTCTTCGGAAGTCAAGTCGTCAACGGCGAAATTTCCGTAAGAAAAGGTTTAGATGAAGCCTATCTAATGCCTTATCTTTTCAGTGCTTCTTCGGCCGACATACGCATTACAAGAACTATGTCAGAGTAACTATGATTTGGATAAACCAGTTTACAAATGCATCTGATTACAATGGGAGAAGTGGAAGTTAGAAATGACTACAGGTGTGACCGGGAAATGTAATGGTTGTATTTTTTCATGGTTCTAAACTAGAGCCGTATACTCGTCAATAAAAACAAAGCCAGCTCTTTACGGGCACGTTTTGGCGACGATGAACAGTCTTTACTGAATACACAGAACCAATAGAGACATACCCGTC